TCCTCCTCCTCCTCCTGTCGAAGAGCGGGGGCCTCGCGGGTCAGGATTTGCTAGATTGCTTACCCTCCCCCCTCCCTCCCTCCTCCTCCTCCTCCTCCTCCTCCTCCTCCTCCTCCCCCACCTCATCCTCCTGTCCGTCCTCCTCCTCCTCCTTCCCGCCAGAAGCTCGTCTCGGACCTAGAGACCGCGGTCACGGGCTATCGGAACGCCCACTACAGGATGCAAGGGGCCCAGGCCGAGATCGAGGACGAGGGCAAGGCGAACCGCAAGCGGGCGAGGGCCGCGTAGGCCAGAGGTGCGCGCAGCGACGGCTGTGCTGGGGACGGGGGTCGGTCCAGCAGCGGATGAGCTGCTGCTTTGCAATGCTGCCTGGCAGCAACAAGGATCTTCTGGGGAGCGCAGACCAAAAACACTCACGGACCTAGCGATGATCTAGCACGGATCTAGCACTGATCTAGCACTGATCTATCACGGATCTATCACTGATCTATCACGGATGCGACACTGTGTGCACACACGGATCTATCACTGATGTATCACTGATGCATCACGATCCCACCCGATAAAACACAGTGTTTCATACTACCCCCTTCACTGACCCATCGCGGATCTATCACGGATCTATCACTGATCTATCACTGATCTGTAACTGAGCCCGACCCCGGATCTATCCCGGATCCATCCCGGATGATCCCGGAGCCTCGACCCGAGGCCGGCGAACGAACGATGTGCGACGCCAGGAATGGCTAGACAGCGTTGCGAGCGAGGGTGCGCCCACCTCCGAGCGCTCTTCTGGATCTCGAGGTCGTGGATGGGGCTCCAGAGATCTCCCCTGCCCCTTCCGCGTCGCTGGTGCGACTCGACGGCGACGACGGGTGCCCCAAGACACCCCCATGGCCCATCTTCGCACCCCTTCCTACCCCTCCTCCTTTTTTCCTACTCCTCCTCCTCCTCCTCTTCCTCATCCTCATCCTTCCCTCTACCTCCTCCTCCTCCTACTCCTACTCCTCCTCCTCCTCCTCCTGCTCCTCCTCCTCCTCCTCCTCCCTCCTGCGAGGGGAGGGGTCCCCCATTTTCTAACATGCCCCGTCGTGGCGTCGCAGGTCTGCCACCCTCTCCTGAGACGTCGGCTCGAGGCGATCGCGGCGCCCCTGGAAATCTTTCGGCGAGGCGCAGCGGGGAAGGGGGCCAAGTGTGGATACGTCCTCGTTGCCTTAGGAGTTCCGAGATCTCGAGCGCTCTGCGAAGAGGTACCCCGACCATGGGCTGGCCTGCTGGGGCGGGGGCGAGGGCGATCGCGGCGCCCCTGGAATTCTCTCGGCGAGGCGCAGCGGGGATGGTTGGGGCGGGGGCGATCGTGGCGCACCTGAAAATCTCTCGGCGAGGCGCATCGGGGAAGGGTGGCGCGAGGACGATCGTGGCGCCCCTGGAAATCTCTCGGTGAGGCGCAGCGGGGAAGGGTGGGGAGGTCCTCGTTGCCTTAGGAGTTCCGAGGGCGCTCTGTGAAGAGATGCCCAGACCATGGGCTGGCCTGCTGGGGCGGGGGCTGGGACGACCGTGACGCCCCTGGAGATCTCTCGGCGAGGCGCAGCGGGGGGAAATGGGGGGACGGCCCTCGTTGCTGCGGGAATATCCAGGAAGATGAGGAGGAGGAGGAGGAGGAGGAGGAGGAGGAGGGGGGGTAAGGAGTAGGGTAGGGAGGAGGAGGAGGGGGAGGAAGATGAGGAGGAGGAGGCAAGCAGGCAGTTTTAACGTCCAGAGCTATTTGCTCCTCGAGCGCAGCCTTGTTTATGCCGCCGAAGGCGAAAAATGTAGGAGGATCCACGATGTGCCACAATGGCAGAGAGAACAGTCGGGCCAGCTCCCTCTGGCAGAACTGCAAACGCTGTATTGTACGGGAGCTCGCATGAATGCGAGGAACTTCTGCGTCCTGGCCGAGTTGGCAACGACATCGGGGTCACAAGGCCCCGTGCAAGACTGGGGCTCCCGCCTGGGCAGCCCAGCGGACGGTATCAGAGGAAGATCTATAGGAAGGTCGAGGCTGCGAAAAAGCAACTCAACTTCCGAGTCGACGACATGACACTTCCCGTGCCAGGTCACTCTCAAGTGCGCGGCCCTCGGGGAGATCTTCGCCTCAAGGTTCGGCCATTCCACGAGTCCCTGCACGCGGAGATCATGGGGGCGGCCGAGTCGCACGCGAGACACGTTCGACTTCTCGCCGAGAAGGAGATGCCACCTGTGTATTGGGAGCACAAGGTGGTCAAGGCGGCGCCCGAGGGCGCATTGGTCGCCCCAGTGGGGCTCTACGTAGACGGCGCCAGATACGGTGGGAGGGCTGCTGCTGGTCGTCACAAGAGCGTAGTGGTCATATCTTTGATCAGCTTGCTGACTGGAGTGCGCCATCCAGGCGTCTTGTTCAGAAAACAGCTCCAATGCCGCTGCGGGTGCAAAGGCTACTGCAGCACGCAGCGGCTTTGGCTTTTCACCAGGTGGTGCGTCGAGGCACTGAGCCGCGGCGAGTGGCCACGGACAGGAGTGGACGATCGGGAGTGGAACGAGACCGACGGGCACCGCCGCGATCGAGCTGGACAGCCACTCGGTTTTCGTGCAGCTGTCATCTACCAGCTCGTCGACTGGGAGGCGGTGTCCAACCTCCTCGGGGTGCCGCAGTGGAACCACCTCCAGCACCCGTGCCCGCTGTGCACCTGCACGGCGACTTCTATGCACCTCTACAGGATACTTTTTTTGGCGGTGTTGATGGCGAGGAGGAGGAGGAGGAGGAGGAGGGGGAGGAGGAGGAGGAGGAGGAGGAGGAGGATTTTCCCAGGGTTTCCACAGGTCGACTGCCTTGGGAGGAGGAGGAGGAGGAGGAGGAGGAGGAGGAGCAGCAGCAGGAGGATGAGGATGAGGAGCACGATGAGCAGGAGGAGGTGGAGGAAGAGGAGGCGGAGGAGGAGGAGGATACCGACGACGACGACGACGATGTTGATAGAGAGGGGAGGGACAGACATGGGGGAGCGAAGGGAGAAGAGGGGGCAAAGGGAGGCACCGATTACCTTAGGACTCCTCCTCCCCATCCTCATCCTCCTCGTCCTCCTCCTCTTCATCGTCCGCCTCGTCCTCCTCCTCATCCTCCTCACCCCATTTCTTTTCAGGACTCAAGCTCCTCCTCCTCCTCCTCCTCCTCCTCCTCATGCTCCTCATGCTCCTCTTCCTCTTCATCATCATCTTCCGTATCCTCCTCCTACTCATCCTACGGCTACTCGGTTTACGCATACTGCTACTGATATTACCCTTACTGCTGCTGCTACTTCTCCTCCTACAACGGCTACTTCTCCCCCCGTCCCCTACTGCTACTCGTTGTAGTCCTACTGCTACTCGTTCTACGCCTACTCCTCCTACTCCTACTCCTCCGACTCCTACTCCTCCTACTCCTACTCCTCCGACTCCTACTCGAAACCGTGCGCGTGAAACAGTGGCTCTACCAGCCACTGCGACGCCCTTGAGAAGCCCTGGGTTCCCCGTTCGAGCGACGCCCACGACAAGGCCAGCTTGAGGGCCGAGTTCAGTGTCTCTGTAAGAAACCAACGAGAGCGAGACATTCTCTTAGATCGTGGGCGGTTTCTCTTCGATAAGAGGAAGGTTGGCAACGGCTTGTGCTTGCAGGGTTCCGTCGATCGCCTCAACGCCGACAGCGACCAGCTGGAAGCAGGCGATCTTCTCAGGCCCCAGCCCAGCCTCCCCGACGTCGCCCATTTCATGGCGCTCAAACCTCCGTTCAAGCTTGTTTTTTGGAGGCCGTCAGCCTCGAGCCTAACGAAATTCCGCAACCCCATCTTGGACCATGGCGCACTAGGCATTTCATTTGCTGACGCATACGGCGTAGACTACCTACACACTGTTCCCTTGGGCGTGCTGGGCTTCGTGATCGTGGTCATCTTGTGGGGGGCGATCAGCTCTGAGAGCCGTCGCCTTACTGGAGGAGCTGGCGAGAAGCAGACTCGGCAGATGCAGGCGCTCGCCCCCTTCACCTCGACCTCCTCCCCCATCCAATCCCTCCCCTCTCCCCACCTTCCCGCCCTTCCTTACCCCATCCCTTCCCTCCGCCCCCTCCCCCCCCCTTTCCCCTCCCCCCGCAGGGCGGGCCCCATTGCCCTTCGGACCCCGTCCCATCGAGATGGCAGCCCCCGCCCCCCGCCCCCCGCCCATCTCGATGGAAATGGCGATCCAGACAAGGCGTTCGGCGTGTTGAACGCCAAGCTTGACAACTGGTATGCCAGCGAACGGCGCCTGGGCCGTGAGCCCGATGAGATCGACGGCTTCAACGTTGCAATGCTTGGCACCGAGGACGCCCCGAAGTTGAAGCTCAGGGGCGGGGAGGCAGCAACGCTTTTCATCTTTTGCGTCGAGTGCTTCCTCCCGCAGTTCGTGGACGACATCAAGAATGGCGTCGAGATCTTGGCTTGCGCCAAGCCCCTCCTGGAGTGGGTCAACTTTCTGAAGGAGCTCTCCGACGTGCCCACTGCCGCCGAGTGCGCTCACTTGAGGGTCCTGTGCCTCAAGCACCTGATGTTGTGCCCGTCGGCTGGCATCGTCTACAGGCCGAAGCACCATGCGTTCCTACATCTTACTGAGAGGACTTGGGCACGTATAAGGGAACCATCACCATCACCATCGCCATAGGAGGAGGAGGAGGAGGAGGAGGAGGAGGAGGAGGAGGAGGAGGAGATGAGGAGGAGGAGGAGGAGGAGAGGAGGAGAGGAGGAGGAGAGAGGAGGAGGAGGGAGGAGGAGGAGGTAGGGTTAGGGGGAGGAGGAGGAGGAGAAGGAGGAGGAGGAGGAGGAGGAGGAGGCGGAGGGTTAGGGGGAGGAGGAGGAGGAGGAGGAGGAGAGGAGGAGGGGGGAGGATGTGGATGAGCACGGAGGCAAGGAGGAGGAGGGGGAGGAGAAGGATGAGGAGAAGGAGGAGAAGGAGAATAAGTAGGGAGGAGGAGGAGGAGGAGGAGGAGGAGGAGGAGGAGGAGGGGGAGGAGGAGGAGGAGGAGGAGGAGGAAGAGGAGGAGGAGGAGGGGGTGAGGGCGGAGGAGGAGGCGGAGGAGAGTGGTAGAGGAGAGGGAGGAGGGAGGGGACGGCGGAGGAGGAGGAGGAGGAGGAGCAGCAGCAGCAGCAGCATTAGCAGCGGCAGCAGCAGCAGCAGCATAAGCATGGGCAGGATCAGAAACAGGAGGATGAGCAGGGGGAGGAAGCGGACAATGGGGGAGGACGAGGAGGACGAGGATAAGACGAGGATGAGGATGCGGATGAGGATGCGGATGAGAAGGATGAGGATGACTAGGAGGAGGAGGAGGAGAAGGAGGAGGACGAGGAGAAGGAGGAGGCGGAGGAGGAGGAGGAAGAGGAGAAGGAGGAGGAGGAGGAGGAAGAAAATTTTTGATTGGATTCACGCAAGGATCCCTTGGCTGGGCCACCCTCGCTTGTACGCGACGTGGAAGGACGAGTCCCTGAACGCGCTGTTCGCGGCCCTCGCAGAGATGGCCCACAGCGGGAACTGGGAGCAGGGCGTGTTCGCCCGCCTGGACCTGCAGCTCCTCAACGAGGCAGGCGCGTTCCGGCCTGACAAGTGATCCTGTCGGCGTGAGTTTCGCCGCGCGGGCCGCTCAACAGGGGTTGGCCGACGTGCGTCAGCGGGGGAGGCGGAGACGGATGCAGAGGAGGATGAGGAGGAGGGAGAGGAGGAGGAGGAGGAGGAGGAGGAGGAGGAGGAGGAGGAGGAGGAGGAGATGAGGAGGAGGAGGAGGAGGAGGGGAGAAGCGGTGCGAAGATGGGCCTCGGGGGTGTCTCGGCGCACCCGTCGTCGTCGTCGTCGTCGTCGGTCGTCGTCGTCACCGTCTTCCGTTCCCATCCTCCTCCTCCTCCTCCTCCTCCTTCCCCCAGAACTCCCGTCCTCCTCACTCCCCTCCATCCTCACCTCATCCTTCATTCATCTTCGTAATTCCCATTTATCCTCCTCCTTCTTCTCTCCTCCTCCTCCTCCTCGTCCTCCTTCTCCTCATCATCATCATCATCCTCATCCTCATCAACATCCTCATCCGCGCCCCCCACTTCGTCCTACCCCTCATCGTCCTCGCCATCCCCCTCGCACCCTTCCTCCTCCTCCTCCTCCTCCTCCTCCTCCTCCTCCTCCCCTCCTCCTCATCCCCCCCTCCTCCATTCTAGCGCAACTAGAGGCCCCTTCGCCGCGTCGCAGGTCTGCCCCCCTCTCCTGAAAGTTCGGCTCGGGGCGATCGCGGCGCCCTCGAGATCTCGAGCGCTGCGCGAAGAGATGTCTAGACCACGGGCTGGCTTGTTGGGGCTGGGGCGAGGGTGATCGCGACGCTCCAGGAAATCTCTCGGCGAGGCGCAGCGGGGAAGGGCGGGGCGGTCCTCGTTGCCATAGGAGTTCCGAGCTCTGTGAAGAGATGCCCAAACCATGGGCTGGCCTGCTGGGGCGGGGGCGGGGGCGATCGCGACGCCCCTGGAAATCTCTCGGCGAGGCGCAGCGGGGGGGCGTGTTGGGGGCGGTCCTCGTTGCCGTGGGGGTCCGAACGAATTCCAAACATATAGGTAAGGTGGTGAGGGTTCGGAGGAGGAGGAGGGTTCGGAGGTAGGAGAGGGGGGGGATGAAGAGAAGGAGGAGGAGGAGGAGGAGGAGAAGGAGGAGGAGGAGGAGGAGGAGGAGGAGGACGAGGAGGAGGAGGAGGAGGAGGAGGAGGAGGAGGAGGAGGGGAGGGGGGAGAGGAGGATGGGGATGAGGAGGACGATGACGAGGAAGACGAGGAGGACGAGGGGAGGTAGGAGGGACGCGGATGAGGATGGTGTGATGAGGATGAGGATGATGAGGAAGGGATGATGATGAGGAGGAGGAGGAGGAGGAGGAGGAGGAGGAGGAGGGGGCGGAGGAGGAGGAGGAGGAGGAGGACGACGACGAGGAGGAGGACGAGGAGTAGGAGGAGGAGGAGGAGGAGGAGGAGGCGGAGGATGAGGAGGTAGAGGAGGCGGAGGAGGAGGAGGAGTAGGAGGAGGAGGAGGAGGAGGAGGCGGAGGGGGAGGGGGAGGATGAGGAGGAGGGGGCGCGGGGGTGAGGGGGAGGGGGAGGAGGGGGAGGAAGAAAAAGACAGCTGCAGCAACACCCCGCCACCCGTCATGCCCCGCCCCTCCTGTCGGGGCTCTGGTCGATCGCCTTCGGCCAGTGTGGGCCCTGGTCGGCGCGGGAGCCCTGCGGACTGGATGGGCCCTTGGGAAGCAGGGCTCGACCTAAACATTGTGCTTGTTTGTCCGGTATATTAAAGGCATTTTCACAGTTGTGCACGCGTCCTGGGACCGAAAAACTGCCCACGGAATCGCGAACACATTGTTTAGGTCGAGCCCTGTTGGCGAATCACACTCACCATAATTGCGGAACAGGGTGATGACGAGGAGGAGGCGAGAGAGGCTCGAGCGTCCGAGATGGCACTTGTGATTCCAGGGGCAAGGGACGAACGCCGCGAAAACTATGCATGGCCGTGCGCGTGGCCGAGTTGGCAGCAACCCCTGACGTGGATTGAGGATCGGGGGCTGTCGTGACTCCCCGCCCCCGTGCCGTGACCTGTCAAGCTCTCTCCGACCCGTTCGCGAACTGCGCGCCTTTTTGCCGCCGCCCCCTGGATGGAAAAGGGGGCGGACGGGCGGCGGCGCGCGGAACACGAGCGGGCGACGGGGGGCCTGGCAAGTCACGGCGCGGCCTTGCCTTCAATTAGGAAATGGCTCTCCGCATTCGGAGGATCGCCAACGCGTGCAAGACGTATCATAGGTGTGGCCTGGACCTCGTGATTAGGAACATATTGGGGTAGGACCCCCCCTCCCCCCACCCTTCTGGTTGGCCGATCCTCCTCCTCCTGCTCCTGCTGCTGCTGCTGCTGCTCATCCTCCCCCTCCTCCTCCCCCCCTCCTCCTCCTCCTCCTCCCCCTTCTCCTCCTCCTCCTCCTCCTCCTCCTCCTCCTCCTCATTCTCATTTAACTCCTCCTCCCTCATCGACCCTCCCCCTCATGAGCAACATGATCATCAGCATCACCATCATAATCGTCCTCTTCATCATCCCTCCTCCTTCTCTTTCTCCTCTGCTTCCTCTTCCTCCTCCTCCTACTCCTCCCAGTCCTGCTCCTCCGACTCCTACCCCTCCTCCTCCCCCCGCCCTCCTCTCCTGCTTCTCCTCTCTCACGCCAGGACTGGCCCGACCTGATCGGAGCAAGAGTGACCTTGGCTGCAGCGCCGCACGGGTCGCTTACCTATGACTGGCTGAACGAAATTAGCTCGCAGGGGCACCAGGCCTCATGGTATTTTTTGGCGGGCTACAGTGGCCCGATGCTTGACAATGGCCAGCCTGCCAATGTTGAGAACGAGTTGATAGATGAGGAACTGGAGTGGATCTGCACGTAAAAGTGATCAAACTCGAACTACGCAGAACCCCGCACTTGCGGATAAGAGTGAGGGGGCCAAGTGGGGTGGGAGATCGTCTGGGTGAGTTTTCTGTTGCAGCCAGGAGATGGAAAAGGAGGAGGAGGAGGAGGAGGAGGAGGAGGGGGAGGAAGGGGGAAAAGGAGGAGGAAGAGGGGGGGGGGAAGAGGGGAGGAGGAGGGAGGAGGAGGAGGAGGAGGAGGAGGAGGGAGGAGGAGGGAGGATGAGGATGAGGATGAGGATGAGGATGAGGATGAGGATGAGGATGATGATGATGATGATGAGGAGGAGGAGGAGGAGGAGGAGGAGGAGGAGGAGGAGGAGGGAGGGAGGGAGGGGGGGAGGGAGGGGGAGGGAGGGAGGGAGGGAGGGAGGGAGGAGGGAGGGAGAGGAGGAGGAGGGAGGAGGAGGAGGGAGGAGGAGGAGGAGGAGGAGAAGGAGGAGGAGGAGGAGAGGACAACACAGATGCACACACACCCCCAACCCTGCGTCGCGCGCAAATGGGGCGTCGAGAGGGGGAATAGGCGTTCAGAACACGGCATGCACCCTACCAGACAGCCCGCAGGCATTCCAACGCGCCACACCAGACAACGCGGGGCGAGAGGGGGGCGCGCGGCGCGCGCAAAGGGGCGTCGAGAGAGGAAATGGGCCGCCAGGGTGGGGGGGGGGTGCGCGGCGCGCGCAAAGGGGCGTCGAGAGGGGGGACGGGCCGTCAGAACAATGCGTAAATCCGACCAGATAGCCCACATGCATTCCAACACGCCACACCAGACAACGCAATATTCAACGAAACCAAATTCGCACAAACCTGCCCCAATATGTTATCAGTGCGAACCGCAAATACTATGTATACTGCTTGTGTGCGCCGACGCGTGTATGACTGATGATGGACGTGCCATTGGACGGGGCGTATGAAGCCAAATGTCTAAGCTAGACATTGAGAGTTTGTTGTCTAACACGCAAACACCAATGCCATGATGTCTATTACAGTAACATGATGTCTTTTACATTAACATGATGTAAGTTAAAGTAGCATGATACTACATCATGTTAACGCAATAGACATCATGTTACTGTAATAGACATCATGACATTGATGTCTGCGTGTTAGACAACAAACTCTCAACGTCTAGCTTAGACACTTTGGGTCCTCTGGGTGGCTTGCGGAGAGGAGGAGGACCTGATCGAGCTCAGGGAAGAGGACGGGGCTGACGAACAGGACCGGATGCTTCTCCAGGAGTTGGCGGCTTGGGGCCCAGGTCCCGGGGACGAAGAATACGGTCCGACATCCTCGTTCGCCACGGCCGGACCGACTCCAGGTGGGCCCCGGCGGGGCCAAGAGGTCGTCTGGAACAAACTCAGTCCAGAAGAGCGAGAGGAGTTCAAGAAGGCGGACGCGGCCGAGTGGTCCGCCATGACCGCTACTAAGGCAGCGAGAGTGGTCCCCCCCGCGGAGGCGACCCTGGTCCGTCGGAGGGATCCATCCAGGATTCTCTCGTCGCGCATGGTCCGTCGGTGGAAGCCGCAGGAAGGCACGGGGGCCAGCGAGAAGGCAAAGTCACGCTGGTGCGTGAGGGGGTATGCCGATCCTGACGCGGAGTCTCTGCATGTGTACGCTCCGACTCCTCAGGAGGAGGCTGTGTTGGTTGCTCTCCAGTTGATAGCTGGCAAGAAGTGGAGGCTTCAGATAGCGGACCGTAAGAACGCCTTTTGCCAGGCGGACCCCCTCTCCCGCCCCAACGGGAAGATATATGTCGAGCCATGCGATGGCGTTGACGTCCCCCGGGGGGCCCTCCTGGAACTTGTGGCCCCAGTCTACGGCCTGAACGATGCTCCGATTCGCTGGCATCAGACCTGGACTAATCACCTCAAGTCCCTGGGGTTTCGGCGCTCCCTTTTGGAGCCGTGTCTTTGGATCGCCCACCATGCCTCGGGTAGTCTCAGGGCTCTTGTGGTGATTGAGGTCGACGATCTCATTGTTTCTTGTGAACCCTCATATGAGAGTGAGCTCAAGAAGTTGTTGACCAGCCGTTTCCATTTCGGTAAATGGCAGGTCGGTGAGGCCGAGTACGCAGGGAGAAGGATCCGCCAGCAGTCTGATGGGCGCATTCTCGTCGACCAGGAAAAATATATCCTGGAGCAGGTCCGTCCCATGAGACTCGACCAGGAGCGTGTTAAATGTCCCGAGGAGTTGCTCGATGCAGGAGAGCTCCGAGACTATCGCGGCCTGGTGGCGAAGATTCTCTGGGCGGCCCGCCAGTCTCGTCCCGACGTGTCCGGATCCGCCTCGATGCTGAGCGCCGAATGCCCACAGGTCAAGATAGCCTCGGCTCTCATGGCTAACAAGGTAGCTCGCCACCTCCGGTGCACGGCCAGCTCCTGTCTGACGATTTGGCCCCTGGACCTGAGTGCCGTGACCATGGTCACGCGCAGTGACGCGGGGGGCCCCGGGTCCGCTAAAAGAGACGGTGCTCAAGGAGGCTGGCTCGTGATGCTAGGGGATTCCAGGATCAAAGATAATCGTCGCTCTCGTGTTTCGCTCTTGTCTTGGAGAAGTCAGAGGCTCCGTCGAGTCGTCTCGTCCACTTTATCGGCGGAGACGTTGAGTCTTTCCGGGGCTCTCGCCGAGGGACAGTGGTTGTGGCCCGTTTTCCGGGATGCCCTGTATGGAGACGTGAGGGGGCCTGAATGGTGGAACTCAGGGACGTCCTGCCCCTTTGCAGTCGCGCTCGTCGACGAGTGTGCCATCGCCGAGGCTTCCGAGGGCGTCGCCGTAGTCGATGCGAAGTCCCTCTTCGATACGCTGTCCAAGAACTGCGGGGGTGCCAAGGCTGACCGCCGCAACGCCATCGAGATGGCGATAGTCCGGGACTCGATGACAGCCGAGGGGACAGTGGTGAGGTGGGTTCCACACTGCAAGATGCCTGCTGACGCTCTGACCAAGGTCGACCCAGGACGAGGGAATTTTGCTTTGACTGATCTCATGCACAAGGGGATGCTGGCGCTAACGGACGAGTCTGGATCGCTCGACGAGCGATCTCTCAACCTGTCGCTGAAATCCCGGACTCGGAATGCATCGCGACAGGTTCTACAGAGAGAATCCCAGTCCACCGAGGCTGGCGAGGACGCAGAGGAGGCTGAGGAGGAGAGAGGAGGAGGAGGGCGCCCCGCCAGGACGCCGAGGAGGTCATCCTCGCGTCCGCCGGGCCTGCCGGGCCCAGTACCCTCCGACCCGGGCCCAGAACCGATGGGGGGAGAGGGAGGAGGCGTGGTCCGTGGATCTTAGAGGCCTCACCTCCCTGTCTGCTGCTGTGACGGACCTCATGGGACACTAAAGTAGGGGGTGCTGTCTTTTAAATACTCAACCCCCTGTCCCATGAGGTCCCCTAGAGTATTCTCAGAGTTTGATGTGTTTCACGAGTTGCGCGACACTGTGTCCAGTGCCGCTGGGGTGACTGTCTGCGTTGTGCAGGGAATACGGACAGTCTCGACTATTGTGATGTTGTGGCTCAAGCGCGCAAAACATCCGGGAGGAAGGGGGCCTCCCGCTTGTCGCCCCGCGCGCCCCTGGGCCTCCAGAGTCCCTCGATCCGCCCACGAACCCGTCTCACAACACGTTTCGTGGCCCCATAGGGAGCTCCACCGAAGGCCCCAGTGGCGGCGCTCACATACGCATGCGTCCCGCACACCCATTTCGGCTCATCCCTCACATGTTTCGTGGCCCCATCATCCACCGGAGGCCCCAGTGGCGGCGCTCACATACGTCACCCACACCCACCCAATTCGGCACACCCCTCACACGTTTCGTGGCCCCATAGGGAGCTCCACCGAAGGCCCCAGCGGCCGCGCTCAGATGCGTCCCCGCCACCGAAGGCCCTAGTGGCAACGCCCGCATGCGTCACCACCCGCACCCAATTCGGCACACCCCTCACCCCATAGGGAGCTGCACCGAAGGCCCCAGTGGCGGCGCTCACATGCGTCCCCGCCACACATCCCAGTACACCCCTCACGCGCTTCGTGGCCCCATAGGGAGCTCCACCGAAGGCCCCAGTAGCGGCGCTTACATGCGTCTCCGCGACCCATCCGGGCACCCCCCCCCGCAGCAGCATCATGTTTCGGGGATCCATAGGGAGCTCCACTGGAGGCCCCAGTGGCGGCCCTCACATGCGTTTCCGCCACCCATGTCGGCACGCCCCGCGCGTGTTTCATGTCCCCATAGGGAGCTTCACCGAATGCCCCAGTGGAACCCATCTCGGCACACCCCTCACACGTTCCGTGGTCCTATGGGGAGTTCCACTGAAGATGAAACCCGCAGCTGCGGTACTGACAACTGCATATGGTTGGGTTTTTCGCCAGGCTAATTTTCATTTTGCGGCCCCAGATGTCTCCAAGGCGTGCCCCAGGCGCCCGCGAGGGCCCAAGATGCCACGGTCGACCCACCAGGAGTGCCCACGGCGCCCCTCGGATGGCTCCGCACGGCCCGGTCTGGCCTCCAGGACGGCCCCGGCACGGCTCCTGGACGGCCCAAGTCGCCCGGGCAGTTCCGAGCTCTCCCCCGCAACGGCCAGCGGCGCCCCCCGAGAGGCAGCTCCGAGGGGCCCCAGCAGAGCCCCGGGAGGCGCCGAGGCAGCCCCCAAAAGGGGGGCCGGGACAGCCCCCAGGAACGTCCGAGGGCGCCCCTTCAGTGGGCATGTCGCCTGCAGCTCTCGCCCGGGGCCCGGACAGCCCCCAGGAGCGTCCGAGGGCGCCCCTTCGGTGGGCACGCAGCCTGCAGCTCTCGCCCGCGGCTGGCAGCCCGTGGGTCACGGCAGTCAGTTACAGCGCCGGGATCAGCGCGTGCGAGAAAAGCAGGCAGTGGCAGCGGGCCCTATCGCTCTTCGGCGAGATGCGGGAGGCCAGGGTCGATCCGAACGACGTCAGCTACGGTGCTGGAATCGTTGCCTGCGCGGATGGCGAGCAGTGGCGGCGGGCCCATGCCCTACTCGGCGAGATGTGCGGCGCGAAATTGGAACCCGACGTCATCGTCTGCAGCATTGGAGTGAGCGCGTGCGAGAAAGCGTCCTGTCCTGACCAGGGAAGTTGGGTTCCCCTGTGTCTGAGCCAGGGAGGTCTTCCTGCTGAAAGGCGCATGCGCACACAAATATAAGCATGTCGATCCTCCTGAGATCTCGGGAGGCCCCCGGAAGCCTCGGGAGGTTCACGGATCCCTCTGGAGGCCCGCTAGAGGCAGTCATTAGAAGGCGAAGCGGGTCCGTGGGCAGGGAGGGTGGCCGAGAACGGACACGGAAGGTTGCGCTCCAAGAGGGAGAGCGGGGCCGCATACGGACGTTCTTGGTCGACGTATCACTGTTTGGTGCCTTGTGCGTTGATGCCCTGCGGTGAACGTCGGTGAGCCGCGTACGTCGCAGTCGGCCGTTCCTGGTCGCTGCCCTACAGTACCCAGCCAGTGCCCTGTGGCTGGTCCCCTCTACGACGGTGCCCTGTGGCTGTCCCGCAGTGCCGCATTTGGCCCTCGCTGGTCGGTGCCGTATGGTTGGTGCCCTGTGCGTCGGCGCCCTATGGCTGGCCCGCGGTGTCGCACTGGCCGGTCGCTTGCTGCTGTGTCCGCGCGAAGTTGAAGAAAGCAGACGACCCACAACGCATCGATGTTGCGCCCTCATCGGGACACGCCAGTGCCATACCGATCATGCTTCGGCGCATTGGTGGCCAAGCCAACCTCACAGAACGTCAAGCACACCACACCGTGTCGCATAAACGGAGCAGGATAGCAAAGGGACGAGCAGTGCAATGAATACCATGAGGACCGTATACAGAGAAGGCGCCAATTGATCGACCAGCAAAGTATCCAATTCAGTCGTGCCAGCGACAACAAGGATGCCGAGAATCTCGGTGGAGTTGCAGCGGTAGTTTGCCAGCAGTTGGGGATTGAAGAGCCAGAGCAGGTACAGACCCGATCGATGACCCTGTAGATCTTGCGCGTGAAGCTGAAGAAGAGAGGTGACGCACACCGCATCGCTAGTGCGCCCTCATCAGGACACGCCACTGCAATAACGGTAATGTCTCGGCGTATTGATTTGCCAAATACGGGACGTGCCAACAGAACACAACAACCGGCGACCCAGTAGAACGTCAAACACACCACACCGTATCGCACAAACGAAGCACGAGAACAAAGGGAACAGCATTGCAATGAATGAATAGTATGGGTACCGTACACAGAGAACGCGCCAATTAATTGACCAGCACACTATCCAATTCAGTCGCACTAGCGACGACAAGGTCGCCGAGAATGATCCACAATCGCAATGGGTAGTTAAGCACGCGCCATTGCTTCAGCCACGTCGCACAGCACATCCAAAACCACATTACGTATCTTCTAAGCATAGTTGATAGATTTATACCGCGCCCCCCACAATTCTGCACTGTGTCCTTTGCGGGAGGTTCGCAGGCCTTGGGCAAAAATGTCTTGGTTCAATATCCCCGGCTGTTGTATACCTATCCTGTGCACGTCGGCGGGAATGGGATCGATGGTGTTCTCTGAGCAGAGGCGAGGGTCATGCAGCTATGTAAGCACACCTATACGATCACCCTTCGGGTGATATGGAGGTTCGGGGGAGAGTAGTGAGAACCAACATCTCATTCAATCGATCCCACGTCGATCAAACTCTCGATCTCAAAACAAATCTCATTATCGATCTCACAATCGATCTCTCGATCGATCTCAACAGATTACACTATCGATCTCACAGTCGATCTCACTATCGATTGGACAATCTAACTTACTATCGATCTCACGAGTGATCTCACATCGATCTCACAACAGATCTCACGATCGGAAAGAGCGCGTTCTGTGGTCGCTTGGAGGGGGTAGTGGTTTGGAACCGGACCCCCCCCCTCCATCCAGCGGGGGGGGGTTCGAACCCCCCCCCCTCCCCCTCTCGTGATCGAGGGGGGGGGTTCGACCCCCCCTCCCCTCCTCCTGGCGGCGGCGGCGGCTGGCGGCGGCGGCGGCTGGCGGCGGCGGGGACGACGATTTCCCTTTTCTGGGCCGGCGCCTGCGGCGGCGGGCGGCGGCGGCGGGGAGCGTCGACGAGAACGGTGGTGGTGGTGGTGGTGGTGGCGGGTTGAGGTGGTGGCGGGTTGTGGTGGTGGCTGTGGTGGTGGTGGTGCGGTATATTGTGGTGGTGGTGGTAGTGGGGCTGGGTTTTTGTGGTGGTGGTGGTGAATTGTGGTGGTGGTGGTTGTGGTGGTGGTGGCTGTGGTGGTGGTGGTGGTTGTGTGGTGGGTTGGTGGTGGTGGTGGTGGGTTGAGGCGGTGGTTGTGGTGGTGGTCGTCGTTGCGTCCCCGCCATCCGCCAGCGCCGGCGCTGCTGGCCGCCGCCAGCGCCGGCGCCGGCTCCGGCGCCAAAGGGGGGGGGTTGAACCTCCGGCCCCCCCCTTCTTGGGCTGCTTCTGGTCATCGTCGCTGCGTCCCCGCCGTCGGCGCTGCTGGCGGCTGCCAGCGCCGGCGCTGGGGGGGTCCCCCCTTTCGGGAGGGGGGTGGGGATGGTTTGGGAGGGGGGGGGGTTGGGGGGAGGGGAGTCCCCTTGGTTTTGATCGACGGCGCCGAGTGTTGGGGGGGGTCCCAAGGCAAGCGCCCGTGAAACGCGCTCTCTCCACGATCGACATCCCAACCGATCTCACCATAGATCTGACAATCGAACTCACTATCGAGTCCACATTCGGACTCACTATCGATCTCACAACAGTTCCCAGTATCGATCCCACAATCGATCTCACGATCGATCTCACTATCAGTTGTACAACCAATCTCACTATCGATTTCACTATCAGTATAACTATCGATACCACTGCCGATCCCATTATAGATCTCACGAGTTTTCTCACCATCGATCTCCCAACTGATTTCTCGATCGATTTCATAGCAGATCTCACTGTCGATCTCACCATCGATCTCACAATCGATCGCGCAATCGATCTCATTCTCGATTTCATGATCGATCTCACAGCAACTTGCATGATCGATCTCACAATCGATATACATATCTGATCAACCCCATTATC